GAAAACGTCCAAAGTGTTATTCATACTTATCATTAGAACTACCCGTTCTAATTCCACATGAAATTGACAAGACATCTCCTCAGGAGGGTCGAACCCAACATCTTCAGCCCGAGGGAACTCAACCTCAACTGCTAAAGAAGTTCTCCCATTTAAAATACCACTTGGAATATGAGTCAAAAGTAAGAATGTCACTCACATGGCAGAAAAGAGGTGAATACGACAATTTGCTATGATAGACATCTTGAAACCTATGAATAAGGACTTCCTACGCCTTTTCTGTGGATTCACATGTGTAAAGATAGGGAGAAACATCCATCTTACGGTTCTGCTACGACATCTAAACACCGGTTGAAGAAAACACCTTCATTGTCATGAAAAACAGACTTATGACATTGGCACGGTATACTTCGATTGTCACACCCAATCAATGAAAAAGAAATGAACTCCAATCTCAATAAGTTAGGACCACTCACCTTGTTCAAGTCTTTATGAATTTCATAATTATAGAATGGGACACAAAAACACTTTGTCATCTTCGAATCTCATATCCTGAATATTATCAATTCTAGCTAGAAGTTAATCAACAACATAGACTTCCACCAACTGGAATAGAGACACCCAATTCTGGGAATGATCGAATACAAGAACATCAATCATCGACTTAGAATCTAGAAAGTCAAAGAAATTCACATAGTTGCATTTGACTTTAAAAAAAGAACCAATAGAACTTTAGTATTAAATGGATATTAAATCAAATAACGATCGAATCTTCAAAACCATGTGACTGAATGAGGATCTTCGAAGTCAAGATTGCCAAATCTCGCACCAATTATCACCGTATACCGAAAGGAAATGAACGATATAACATGTTTCTGTATTAGGAACAAAATTACCGAGACTACTATTATAAACAAAAAGCGGTCTTGATCTTAGAATAACATTGATTCATGATATAAAGATAATATGAATCAAAAGATGGTTATCAAGTAGAAAGTCTAACTCCAGTTCAAAACAGATCAAGAATAGAGCTCGAATTTAGAATTCTAAAAGCGAAATGGCAGAGAATGGTATAGGATTAATATCCATAGTCAATGTTGTTGGGAATGGTGTCCTAGAAGCATAAGATGTAATAGGATATTTATTATTTATTTAATAAAAGAGTTTATTCATCATTTTATGTGTATATATTTGTGAATATTTTATGAATATCAATAAAAATTCCGTGAGTATTTCTGTAACCTTAAACATTGTATATAAGTGTTATATACGAGAGGATAATGTTTAAGGATAATAATAAAAAATCAATGTTTATAATGAATTTAATTAAAGTTCAGAATCTTTAATTAAAACATTATTAATACATGTCATTCCTATTTAGAATAGAACGGTGTTATCTGCACTGTTAATATGGTGAGATATTGAATGAGTGTATTTCACATAATGAGATTATGTGGAACAAGGACACAGATACAATATGAATTTTTAATAATTTCTGTTAAGTATAGAAATTCTAATTGAGTCTACCGATGGTCATCTATAGAATGATCTTAATCCTGAGTTATTAAGAAACTCATATTTATGGATTTGTGTCTTTTAATTTACTCGGTACGGATTCTGAGATCCTGAATCCTATTCCTTGTATTTTGGAGACATGATGAAGTAGGTAGCCGGGAATATTATTACACGAGATGGAATCCATTCCTTCTTAAGAAAGAAGTAGATAAATAATTCTCTTGAGGGTTGATTCGGTACTCTGACCAGGAGCTCCGATTCATGAATGTGTTTTATGAATCACTGTCCATTAGAAAATCAATGGTACTCAAGGATAAAGA